CATGATGAGAGGGCAAGAAGGCAAAAAAAAGAAAAGCACAAAACCAAGTTTCTGTGGTGTTGCAAAAGATTAATTCGTGTGCGGTTCAAAGTTAGTTGCTTGTCTTCCTCCACACACCCCCGGGTTTTGAGGAAGCCGTCAAAGTTTCTAGCCTTTGGGCATGAAAGGTCTCAATGATATACAGTATAATGCCTCAAGACAAATCACACTTGCGCATCTAACTTAAAAAGATTTGTTTAAAATAATAGTTTAAGAAAAAAAAATTGGCTATTGATTGATGGATCATTCAATCCTTCTGAAGAAGTTGTACTGATACAAGTTCCTCTGCATGATTTCAGAATTATTTTCAGACAGCCTCGGCCAATTACTAGGGGGGTGCCACGAGGCACAGTACTATCCTGCGTGCTACTCCTTTTTCCATCTACAGGTGGTTAATAAGATTACTCAGTGGACTCACTTTGTCTTCTGCAATGGCTGATTTTCTGTTTAGTGTCAAGAAAATACAGAAGCGTTCCTGTGAATCTGTCTCCTGCTAAGCTCTCAGAAAATGTATTCAATGCTATTCAGTAGGTTTGTTAAAAAAAAAATACAATTTGAGCTTCCCCCTTACTAACAACCTCCAATTTTTACTTTAAGTTAAACACAAATGGAGAAAGTCACTGTTTAGAAATATATAAGCATCTGGGTGGACAGTGCTTTTGACTTTCAAAATGCATGCTGATCAATTACTCGTAAAAGTCAAGTCTAGACTTGGTTAACTTTATCTGAAGAAATCTTGTTTTACATGTTCCTGAAAGCACTCACTTTGGTGTTGTTTCCCAAGAGCAGCGTTAGAGGCCACGTTTGCCAAATGATTTATGACTTGTGCATCCATCAGACTCATCATTGCAATCTTTATCCTGTGATTTATTGGGCCTCTCTGGATACGAGACAAATGCTTCGCCTGTTTCGGTTCATTTACAAGCCGCAGTTTCGTGGGCAAATTTTGATTTTGAAAAACGCCTTTCTCCTTTAATAATTGATGGCAGCTCTCTGTGCCGTCCTACAAGTCAAGATGCAGTCCAGAACATTCTTAAATCTCCCAGAGGTGACTGTGGTCCATGAGCTCCAGTCACTTCAGGCGGATGCTGAATGGAACCATCCTGCAGCATGAGCTGAAACTGTCCAAATATGTACCTGAGGGTATTTTACATTTTACTGGCGTGCTTAAATCTTTTCCTCCTGATATTTGTATCTCAGCAGGAATATCAACACGCAAGAATTAGGTGAAAGGACTATGGCGTGTTTTAGTCCAAATGTGGCTGAGCCCTCTTGGCTGAGGGCTGACCTGGCCACAGGACGAGGAGGCTGGGAGCCCCCTGTGGACAGAGGAGTGACCAAGGGGCAGCTGCAGAGGTGGAGGTGGGGTGGAAGTGGGATACAAAAAGACGTACAGCAAAGCAAGGGAGAAAAGAGGAATAACAAAGGGTAATTATAGCTTTTCAGGAGAGGAAATTACATCAGCAGTGATTGAGAATTAGTCTGATTGAACTTGGTGTTGGTGTTGTCACTCCTCCTGAACCTTCTGTTGTGAACTCCATTTAAAGGCAGCTCCCCATCCAGCTATTTTGCATCCTTTTGTGGTATTTTTGAACAGGTCTGATTGTCATCTTTGAACAGCAGTATGAGCCGTTCAGACAGGATGTCATTATAAATGGCAAACTGTTCACCACTGACATACAATATCTGGTCAGATTGACGATTTTTGAAGAAAGTTTGACTAGGGGGGCTACCAAACAGATTTTAAAGACCTGGTGATTTATACTTCAGGACTAATGACGACAGCAACAGGTCTGAATTTTCCATGAAAATCCTTGTTAACTCCCAGTGGAATGTGCATCCAGTGCACAGCTTGAATGGGAAGGAGCGGCCTGGCCTACAGCTGCCAGAGTTTGTGATCCTGCTGCAAGGAGAGGGGCAAGGACAGAGACTTGTACTGCTCACTGTGAAAGACACCGACCAAATCAACAGAATGAGCTTCGCTGCTTTTTCATGCAACACATTATAAATAAAGGGAAACCACAAACTGCATGTTATAAAAGAGGATAGTCCAATCCAGAGTACTGGAACTAATAACATAAGCAGAGGACAGAGTGGTTATCTGTTATCTAGCAAAGGAACTAAATCTGTATCAAAGAAAGCTACTGGTTATTGACAGCTTCACATTTCATCTACTGGTCCTGTAGTAGGTTTTTGAGACTGGCTCTGTGGACAACGAAAGTGAGCAAGGAAGAACTACTGTATATAGTAATAATGAAGAATAATTCCTTACACTTACAGTATATAGCGCTTTTCTGGACACTTCACTCAAAGCTCTTTACAGGTAATGGGGAATCCCACTATCACCACCAGTGTGCAGCATCCAGCTCTCAGTGGGGAGGAGAGCAGAGGGATGAAGCCAGTTCAGAGATGGGGATTATTAGGAGGCCATGATGGGTAAAGGCCAGGGGGGAAATTTGGTCAGGACATTGGGGCTAACACCCCTACTCTTTTCAAGAAACACCCTGGTTATTATTGGAGAGAGGAATCACAGTCAGTATATAGCACAAAAGTATTATTGTCAGATAAATGCAAATTGTTGGCCTGTATCGTAGTCAAGGGTGTCAGGAACTCACATAAAATTGAAGGTACCCTGAGTGCAAGCAAACACAGGCAGATTCTGATGCATTTCGCCTTTCCCTCAAGAATCTCTAACTGGGACAGGATACATGGTTCAACCTGACAAAGATGCCAAGAATACAGATAATGTAGTGAAAATAACACAAGGAGCCTGATGAAACACAGATGTTGTGGTTTTCACCAAGCCCTGAAGTGAACATTGAAGCCATATGGAGTCTCACGGAGCCTGAGATGGTTTGTTGAAAGTACTACAGGACATTCGGAAAAATAGTGCACAGTTGTTCACTGATGCTCCATGAAAACAAGATGTCAAGCTCTATATAAAGCAAAGGGCTTTACCAAATATTTATTTCCTAAACAATCTTTTCACACTTTGAATATCATCTGCAATAATGATTGCGCATAATTGCTTGGTATAATGTGCATGATAAACCTTATTTGATATTTATTTCTACAGTATAATCATGTCCAGTTGAGTAGACTATATATATCAATCATTTTTAACACTGATCGTAAACTGTGATGGGGCTATTCTGTGACAGACTCACAGTGTGACTTCAGTCATGTAAAGCTCCTTAACCATGTCTTCATCTAACTACCGCTAAACAAAAGTGAAGCACTTTTAATTAACGCTGTGTTGTGTTTCTGCCTGTGACTTTGAATGTATTTGATCCTGTTTGCAGCCCCCAAAAACCTGAAATTCAGATCAGTGCATAAAAAGAGGGCTTGGACAAACAGGGAGCTGTCATTAAAAGAAAGATGACGACAGAGACGCTATCATTGTACAGTATCTCTGTCCTTGAACATTGTGCCAAGGAAAACACAAACCTCTATTTTTCTAGCAAAACCATCATTGTATTCCCAACATTTTATTGTGTTGGATTATGTATATCAGACTCTTGCAGCCTGTTCTGGCTCTTGGATCCTTTTACAGGAAATGCCTCTCAAAGACTCCCATTTTAAACGCAACAATAATTACAGACCGTAATGTGATTTTTATAATGCTACAATAATTTATAGACCATTAAAAGCAGATCTCTAAGAAAATGCTCCCTCCATAATCGCAGTTGGAATAGATCCGCTGTGTGAGAGTTGATTTTGCAAACAAAAAGTCTGGGGGAGGGTGTTCTTTTTGTTTTTGGGACTCCTGCTGTAGGTAGACTCTAAGGCTGCGGAAATCCAGGCCTCACTGTGGAAAACAGCTATAGCAAAGTCTCTTGTAAAAAAAAAAACTTAAAAAACCATCTTCTTCTTGGACATTCACTTCATGTCTAAATGTTTCCCTAAACGTTTTGATTTTCTAAACAAATTTTGTATCAGACGTCCCCTATACAGTATTTCCACTGTAATAACTTAAAGGTAAAAATGCACTGGAATGATCCATCCACAAGACACTATATTTTTGAATACTTTTCTTTAGTGCAGAGGCAGAAACAGAGAAAGTTAATTTCCTGTAAATAAAGAGGACCTAGAGATGATATTATAGCCTTTACTTTCATCTATAGTAATACATGAAAGTAATGGCTATCATATGTGATACTTATTTGAAAGCTTTTGTTGCTGAATACTACACAAAAACACGTGTCTACACTACTAAATCACAGTCCAAATGCAGTGTCCAAATAAAGTTGTTTCACACAATTTATTATTAAGGAAACAAGGGCCTTGAGACAAAAATACACTTGTTCCGACTACAGGTTGTGCACAAGAGTGCAAACAGTATTAGGTTGAGCACAAACCTCCACTCTTCGTACGCTATCATTTGAATCATAAAATGATTCTAAATAAAATGGGGGAGCTGGAGCAACACCTAGGTTACACCCTGGATGGGATGCCAGTCCATCGCAGGGGACACAGACACACACACTCACACCAGGGTCAGTCCATCACAGGACACACACACACACATACAGTACACTCACAGCAGGGACAATTTTCCCAGAAGTCAAGTAGCCTGCCAGCACGGCTTTGGACTGTGGGAGGAAACCAGCAGGAAACCCGTAGGAACACAGGAGACCATGCAAATCCACACAGACTGCACCCCAGGTCTAGAATTGAATCCAGGGCCCCAGCATGGAGAGGCCTCAACCCTTTCCATCTTGTGGAAAAACACATACACTTCAGGGACCGTCTCTTGAAGTGAGCTTTCTGCGATCTACTTTAACTAGCAATCGCCAGAGACCGGGCTACTTACTGGCTGAGACTGTGGTTGGCAGAGGAAGAAGAAGAAGAGCCAAGAGGAAGAGGAAGAAGTCAGAGAAGACAGACGCAATGCTGCAGCCTTTTTCCGGCAGGCCTCACCGTCACCACTCTATCCCCAGACGGAGACACCCTGTACTTACGGGATGCCAATCTCAAACAGGTTGTTCTGAATCAGCTGCTTGCCCAGCATGATGATGCTCAGCTGGATGCAGAGCTCCATCAGGCAGCCTCCAGGCGCACACTGGCAAAAAACGGAACAGACGGTGGGCAGAGGTCAAGAGGCCACTGGGAGGAAAAACAGCGTGGTTTCACGGTCAGAGACGCTGCCCCCTTTGCTGTGCCTTACCTCCTCCATGCGGTAGTGGTTGAAAATGTAAACATAATCTCCAGGTCGGCCTACAAACCTGGGGGAAAAAAACAGTTCCTTTTATTTTTAAACGTAATCGTCCCAGGCTAGTGTTTTCGATGGCCTGCTTCTCCCATGCAAGAGCAACCACTCCGTTTATTTTTATGTTGACACTCCTGTCGAAGTTTCATCACTGGACTCCCGGAGGAGCTGCTTTGTTTGAATTCATCTTCATTAACTTTACACAACATTCTTCTGTTTATTTTGCTCCAACTTGCTCAGAAAGGTCTGGTGCAAGAAACCCTCCTAATCCTCATCTCATTTATCGTCTGTGTTTTTGACTATAATTGCTCTACTCTTATCCTGCTAAACAAGGTAAAGAAATCATCAAGTCAAATTGTATTTATAAGAACATAAGAAGAGTTACAAACAAGAGCAGGCCATTTAACTCGTTTGTTTGTTTTTCAGTACCTAAATGATATAAGGATCTCATCTAACCATTTTGCTGATGGAAGCTGTAGTAACAGCCTTGACATCAGAAGCAGAGTAGCCTGTTTCAAACTCCCATAATCCTTTGAGTAAACTGACGAAGAATAGATAAGCAATTTTTCAATTTATATCCATCTGTCTGATCAAATGCCAATAATTTAACTGATGTTTTTACAAACATACTTTTGAGTAACTCTGTTAACATTTGCATGAAAGGTCCACACATACTGTAGTATCATATTTTTGTCCCGTCTCAGAAATTTAAAATTGTCGCCTACCTTCCCTTGAAAAAGGCAACATAAAAGATCGGTGCATATGAGTTCATAAACTTCAGAAGAAAGGCCTTCAGTATCAGTCGCTCTTCAAAATCTTTCTCTGTCTTGGGAATCTCTGCAGAATACATCAAAACATGATAAAAGCGCATTAGCAGAATGGTGTTATTGACATTCATACTGATTTCTCAGTTTTGGATGTCTTCTCAATTTCCATGTGAGCTGAGGTCACAAAATACTGTCTTGGGCTTTAAAAAACTGGATCCCACCAACAGCCCCTTGAAATCTACTGATCTATCGGCCAATCATGGGTATTCTATAAAGGAAACATTGGGTTTTTTGTCTATCATTGCAGGCATGATCTCTACTTAACCTCAATTCAAGCTTGAGAAGAGTGGTCTTGGTCTAGTTTATCTCCCTATTAATGTTCCATTAACCTAATATGTCTTCATATTTGTCTGTCCTTGGTACATTTCTGTCAAAGATGGATGTTTATGGAGTGTGCTGGATTCCTCTCCTTTAAGTGAGTAGCCTTTACACTTTTGCTTGGCAGTGTGTCTGCCTTCTTTGCTCAGCGGTTGGACAGAAGGCTAGTTTTATCCAGTGTCACACCTGAATGAGTCAGAGTGTACAACTCCCCTGCATGAGCGAAGAGGATTTAAAACGGCAAATAATCACACATCTACAAAACATTTTTTTTTTAATCCCATTTTCCGGATTCTAAAAAACACGTGACTCAGCAAAGTGCCTGTCGCTCAGCCTTAAAGTAAACTAATCTTAGCTTCTAAAAACAACCTTCTAAAGGGAAAGCTGTAGAAGTGGGCCCTACCCACTATGCTGTGCATGTTCCTGCACATCCAACAACAAAAACGAGTTCTCAAAAGACAGCAGTCACATAACATACAACTCCCCTAGGAAGCATGCATTCATGGTTCTGTTCAATAAAGGCAATGGCACAAGCACTGCGAGAATTAGTGTGTATTTTAACCCTAATCCTGCTTCCAAATGCTGAAGTCCTTATCTGACACTAGAGCATAAAGCAAAACATAAAAAATATATGATGTGTGTAATTCTAGCAATGAGGCCATTCAGCACCTGTGGGAACCATCCCTTAAAAGTTGAATTCTCCATATAAACAGTTCTGAATTACCACTGTAGAACTACAGTAACTGTCATATCCATTAGGATCTCATCGTACAGAGGAGTCTAAAAATAGTGCAATTCAATTCATGCGTTTCTCATACCGTATATATCCAGGTCTCCAGTAGAATGTTTTTATTTTTTATTAAAAAATCAAAGTGAAGCTTATACAGTACCATACACCAGACTCCCAGGTTTTTTTTTTAATTTTGCTTGTATTCAGCGAATATTATACAGTAGGTGAGAAAAGGTTTGTGGTTTGACCTCAGCTACGGAGTTAATCCGTGAGACTTTCTTTTTCTTTGTATCTGGAAGGTGAAAGAACATTTTTCAGGGAATGGACTGGTTTTCATCAACACTGACTTTCCACACAGCAGACCTCACTCGTGTCAGGATATTAGCACCCTAACACCCCGTCGACAATTTCTGGATTCTAAAGGGAAGCAATGAAAATAAACTAAGGTCTTCGAAAGCCCTAAAATCAGCTAAACCCAATCACAATCAGACGGGCTCATGAGTTCTTAAAGTGGACATACAGCACTTTACACACATTATATTAACATTCAGGTGGGGAGCTGCGTCAGCATGCGTCGGCTGCAAAAGAACAAGTAATAGGTTTATTCCACGCTGAAAAGTGAAGAAAGAAAACACAACATTTCGGCTGTGGAGCCTTCTTAGGCCCCACAGCCGAATCATTGTGTTTTCTTTCTTCTCTTTTCAGCATGGAATAAACCTATTACTCGTTCCTTTATATTAACATTTATTAATGTCACACTGTTGACATACCCGCATAAAACAAATAAATTAATTGCAATAAAATCATTAGATAACTCATAAAATTCATATCAGCAAAGTCGCCAGTCAGATGTTTTCTGCATCTTAAACGTCAGTCAGTCTGGACTAGCTTCACTCCATTAACTCAACTGGTGAAGCAATTTCTCACTCCCCCACCTGATCTGGTGTGAAGGGGCTGGTGGATCAGAATAAATTATGTCACCAGGCGAGTGCTACTCCTCACAAGGGACCGACCCTTCTATATGTATAGTGGCTTCGGATCCTTCCAGATGCAAAGTACTTTACATAAAGAAGCAATTACTGATATCAGAATTAGATGAGTAATATTCAGCAGAAAAGGAAAATTACACCAAGGGGATTATCATGTCTGAAAAACTAGCATGGTGCTGATATTCAACGGTATGGGGTTTGAAACATTCCAAACTAAACACTGTAACAACTAATCGACCCCCACACAATGCAGAGACACAAGAACATTCCAAGAACAACCTGCCAAGCAGCGTGAACGACGCTGGTACATCGCACTCTCTCGTTTATGAACTCTTGTTAAAAGTCGTTGAGATTGGAGGTCACTAGTGAGCTTTGATGGGCTGAAAGGGCCAGTTCTCACTTCACTTTTCTTACATTTCAAATCTACATTGCTAAAGATTTGTGTATCATGACCCATGCATCTCACCTGTTGACATTGCTTTGATGATGTCACTCACTCCCCCAACCCCTCCATGCAAGGGGGGATGGCCTTTTATAGAAACGGGTGTTTCATTCTTTGCCTGTTCTGTGCTGGTTTGGAGGTTGACAGTCCTTGAATCGGTAATTTGACCCAGCTTTGTAACACAAATGCCGGTTTCTCCAACTGGAACGTCTCTACTTGCACTAATGCTGCCCTTGTTTTTTTAGACAGGTAGCTAATTTTGTGCAGTGCAATACCTGTATGAGTTACAGTTTACCAAGACCCAGAATGTGCCAAGGAGACTTAAAACTGGAAATAATTGCTCATCAGAAATGGTCAGTAGGGAATGAGACCAAATCCGCGTTTCTCACAGATAAAATTTGATGATGGCACCACTCATCGCCATTAGCATCTTGCAGGCTTTTGGGGAGAAGAGCCGAAAATCGGCAGTCCAGATCTATACCAGCACCAAGCAGCTCTCAACCCAAAAACAAATCCCATTCCCCGAAACCAAAAACCAGAGTGCAATCCAAAGTGTTATACAGAACCTCGGCATTTTATTTTTGTCTCCTCATGACTCAGAAAAAATAAATGTCTGTCACTCTGCCTTAATGTCAACTAATCTTAATCTTACCGATTTCAGTCAGCCACGTGGCAACAGCTCCGTAAATCTCGTCCAGGATGAGGATAACAACGAGGTTGATGATGACCGCAGTGGCCGTGACAGTGACACGGACATTTGCCTTCGTCTGCGGGTCCGGACTCATTGCTATGATGGCCGAGGTGATTATCCTATAAACTATCACCCCAAACACTGCCGAGAAGGTCACTCCGAACTGGACGAGAAGAGAGACAATGCAGAAGGGTACAGTACACTTTCACAAATGTTCAGTTTAAGGATTGAACCCTTCACTGTGGTGATGATTGACAGTGACCGGTTTCTGGACTGAACACATCTACTGCTACATCTGTTCTTTTTCTTTCCCCGTTTACAACCGTTTTTTGTGCAATATATGCCAGGGACCCATGCAATACATTTATATCTATATTTATATTCATGTGTGCAATACGATTTTTCTGTGTACTGTTCTGTTCTAGTTTGTTCTTTGTGTGTCCTGGACTGTGAGTAACTCTTTTAGTGCACCCCTCGCTATACTGATTGTATTGTATGTATTGTATTATTATTATTATTGTATCATTCGTTACACTGTGGCTGTGTTGTCTGTCTTAAGCTGCTGTTGCACTGCAATTTCCCTCACGGGATCAATAAAGTATCTATAATTGATGTGCTGAGAAATTTTTCTTTCTAATTTGAGGATGTTGGATGTTTTTAATAAGGGAAGGAGAGTATATGGGAAAAATGAAATGAATCTTCAAGGACTACTGTCATTTTATGAAGTACTTGAGACGTTATCTTAATATACAGAGCACTACAACTTCACACTATTCCCCTAATCATATAACAGTATACCATATACCCTCGCATAAATGATAGTAGTTACAAGATATTAGGAAACAGAAATAAGGGAACACTGCATTATAACACTGTAAAAAAATAAACAAGTCAAGCTCATTTTATTTTGTTTGCAAACTGGAGAGAAACGTTTTTCAAGATGGAATTTTATATAGTGCTCCATGCCTGATTTAATAAGCAAATGACAATCAGTGTATTACATTTTTATACACTAATAAGAACTGTGGATAAAATATCACAAATTGCACTTGATATACTGTGGGATCTCAGGCGCCCTGCCTTATGATAATAGGATCTACATCATACTATACATAATCTAGTCATTCTCAGTACTAAATCAGGCATTTACATTTAAGAAACACAAAATCAGGATAATTTTGACCCACCATGAATAAGATGGAAGTGAAATTGATGATGTATCCAGGCATCCTGTCTTTCCAGGTTAGCTTCTCTTTCCCAACCTGCAGGAAGAAATGCACAAATGCAATAATGGCGCACATGCAGACATGTATATTTATTGCGGATAAAAGAGAAATGCATATTGGGACTCACTTTAATGATCCATGATGTTTTTCATGGTGTTGAAGCGGTATTATTGTAGTGCACACCACTGTGATTGATTGCAACTTACTTTTGCTCATTTTGAAAATTCACCAGACTGCAAATGTTAGACATCAGTGAATTTTCTGTGCCATATTTAGCATGATCCAGCAAAACAAGCTATACAGCAATATATCTACCATGCAGGGAGCAGGACCTGGTCGGTCAGACCAGTATGAAAAGGGTCCCAATACACTGTACAAAAGCCACAGGATAAAACGAAAATGGCAAAATCATACCAGAAGTTGCAATGTAGCAAAGGTAATTATAAAATGCCAAATGAAAACAAGTTTTGACATGTTATTTTAAAAAATGGTTCAGCTATCCTAATGGGGATTGTGTTAAAGGTTTCTATGGTCCACGTCTTTCCTTTGAGAAGGTCCTATCAATCATACAGTAGTTCATAATCTAGTGAAGGACCGTGAGAGGCCAGTGGCAGAGTCTTTTGGGACGCAAGGTGCTAAAAATGTGAATAAGATGTTGGAAAAATAAGGAGAGGTATCATTCAAGGCCATGCACATTAAAAAATATAGTCTTTACAGACCTTAACAGTAAGCTAGTACAGAGATTTTAAGACAGGAGCTGTATTAATGTCAAAATGAGTCTTGGTCAGAATCTTAGGTGCAGAGCTTTGAAAAACATGATCAAGAAGGATAAGTAGTAACACGGTTTAATAAGACAAAGCATGGGCTAGATTCTCCACAGCAGGCCAAATGCAGAAGAGAGATGAATGGTATTGATGAAACAAGCAAATAAGTCAATTAAAATGTGACAAAGGTCATACTGTAGACTGGATTGACCCTTCTTTAAAATCCTCCAGAAACTTCCTTGCGAGCTAAGAAACGGCAGAGAATGTTTTACATTCGCTTAATTTTGAGGGAGAAAGGATGGTGCCATAGTAGAGGCTCTTGCTTGAGAAGTGCACTGTCCACATCTCTCTCTGGCGTGTTTGCCTATCAGCTTCTGCTCATGTGGATCTTCTCTGTATAAACCTCTCACAGTCCAAACACATGCTGTCTAGGGTAATGTTCATCTCTAATTGAATTTCAAATATAATATCATAAATGAAAGACTCTAAAAAGATATAGCATTTTTAAAAACAATATTAGTATATCATTTATAAGTTATATTACATATTAATGTATTATATGTTCATATTATATATCAATACATAACAAATGTTATAAATGACTTTCTTTGTCAATTACATTTCTCTCTTTTCTATTATTGCAAGTAAACAATATGCACATATTACATTTCTACATTTCATGGATACCTAGAGTATAAGGTGTGTTTCAGTTTCCCCGACTTATTTTTTTCAATTTAAACAGTATACAGTATATTCCAGTTGTTTTTGCTTATATATGGACCCAGTAATGATAAATAAGTAGGCAAGTGCATGAAAGTTATATCTGTATATCCTTTCATTATGATGCCCAGTGGACCTCAAACAGCCATGCTATCAGACACTGAAACAAATCCGTTTAGTGGAAGTGGCGAGGAGTCGGTACTGCTGAAGCTGAGTGACTGGCCAGCTTTCTGTGGTCGGGATATCTGCCCACACCAAAAGTCTCCTGGGGCTGGCTCTTATCGCCAGGAGGCAGGGCAGGGGCCCAGAAGAAAAAGCAAAGCAACGTAACACCGTCTACTGCACTTGAATGGCTGTGGAGGAGTCGCCTTCACAGTCAAGGAAATACTGTAGGTTTCTAATCTGGAATAAATCAGCACAGTGCCACGAACTAAAAAAACCAAATGGAGACAAACGGGGGCTCTGCAAAGGTTTTTCAAACTCTTTATAGTTGCAAACTTTATTTTTTTTAAATGCTGCATGAACCATTCTATGGAAAAATGCACAACGTCATGCACTGGTAATACCAAGCATGCTGTAAAAGATTCAAAATAATGCAAACTAGGGTCTATTTGAATGGGCACGTAGTGTGTAATAAAATGCATTGCATATATAACACTGCAGATAGCGGTTTCCAAAGGCAACGTTTACCACTGCTTGGGGTGTTGAATTCCCGAAGTCAAGCAATGTCATAGAGATCAAAAAGGAACATTGATAGGAAGCAAAGTTTGATTATTTCCAGGTCCTTTCACCTTAGACCACTCTTTCAACAGCAAAACGGAGCACTACGCATTCCTCCCACACGGCAACTTTTTGAAACTTGCTTAATTATGAAGACAACAGCACCACCTAGCCCTTGAAGATGAAATAAAGTATTTAACCAAATTCATGCAGGCAATCGGTACACCTTCCAGTGCATATTTAAGCATTTTTACATCACCCATTGATTTAATGATCCTGTGGAATTGGGAATAATAATAATAATAATAATAATAATAATAATAATAATAATAATAAAAGATGATTCCTTACACTTACATAGAGCTTTTCTGGACTCATCAGTGGGGAGGAGAACATAGTGATGAAGTCAGTTCATAGGATCATCCCTGTGATGGACCAGTGTCTAACCTGGGAGGTGGAGGGGGGTCTCTTGCTCTCAAGTCCGCTTAACGCTATGCAAACCGAGATCACCTCTCAAACTAACCGACAGTGAATGAATGTTCAGAAGGCCACATTCCTTTAGGACAACAGAAAGCGATCTTGTTTCTCTGGCTCCATCTCCAGATACGAATGAGCACATTGCATCAGCACAGGGGATGGGCTCTGCAAAGGACTGGCGTCCCACCACGAAAAGGGAGTTAATCCCTCTGATCACTTCTCACGTAGAAATCAGGGTGAGCTCTGATGTGGTGAGTCACGGTGCGTGTCTTGACTGGACATGACCTCACCCACCTGGGGGACAAGTGCTTCCTCAAGGTCCTAGACAGCAATGGAGTAGGTGCGTCCCTTCAAAGAATGTGGTGCATCATACTGTTGGTGGACCTCATTATGAGGTCCAATTCTAATGGAAAGAAGAGCTAAGGAGCTAAGGTGTGCTGATGTCTCTGTTTACCTAGAAAGAGCAGGACCAGTATATACAGTACAGAAACCTTTCAACAGGCATCAGCTGGAGATTATACAAATTGAAAAAGTATGTGCTTTAATAAAAAAAGTGAACGTTCCCCCACATTAAGGCACTTGAGGAATATTAGTAAACGTTGAGGTGATTGAGGACTTTTTCACTGTTTCTGACTTTCCTGGGGAAATGAAAGCAGGGGGAAGTGTTTAAGAATTCCTGAGCGTACCCTGTATCAACAGGTTAAGAGAAATGAGTCTCTCATCTTGTACAGAGACAAATTCAAGCACTGTATCCAATATCCTGGAACGCACAGAAAAAAAGTCAACCCAATGGACTAGTGAACAGAAAAACATGCAGTTTTGAAACCAATAAGACTTCTGGATAAATTAGCTACCAGCAATCAAATGAGTTTCATAAGCCAGTCTACATTTGCTAGCTTCTTTACGTTTATAACATGCCAGTTTCAAGGTTTTGTTGTGGTAAAGTATGAACAGGACCTGGTGCTCTGGAGCTTTGACAGCAGAGGGAACAACTGGTTCTGTGACAGGAGAATAATCTATAATGACAGGATTAAGATGCATTTCAACTGCAAAAAATATACTCTTCTCATTAAAACACCCGATTAGCTAGATAAGAATCGGAGTGGCTGTCTGCAGTTGAATGGAATTCAGTCATTCTATACATTGCATGATACTACAATGGTTAGGATTAGCCAGGGGGTGTTAAATGACTCCTTCTGTTCACATTTTCTTTAAACCAAGACTCCTCTTCTTTTCGCACAGTCATTTTAAATTTGGCCACTTCAGTTACAAGTGCGATCACATGTCTCCCACTCTTAGTGGTCCCTAATCCTCTACTTAGCTCTGTGTCTCAAATGTCTGCCTTGGACTGGGAACAAACTAACTTGATCACATGAGAATAAAAGTGGTCACAAGAGGCCCTTGCGAACATCACATTTAGTCACATGGCTACTGTGCCAATATGGCTGATCTGATTAACTGATGCCCTTGCAGATGGCCTCTCTGTAACGTTCAAAACATTTTCTTTAATGGCACTAATTTCTTCAGCGGTGAATTGTCCGTCTTTGGGTTTTACTATACATACTGTAGCTTGCAACACCCATGACAAAACTCAATTAATAAGATCTACATTTTGCCAACAATTTTCAACGTTTCACCAATGAAACAAATCAACTTACCAAGTGCTTTGTTGCTGAAAGCGAGCAAGGTAGTGCTCTGGAAAAACATGTACACTTTTAGACAGATAAAGAATGTGCATGTAGTTCCTTGAAGAATACATGTTGTACTTACTAATACAAGTAACAAATGGACAATGACTAAACAATGATTTACAGTATGTCTGGTACTGAACTTGACAAAAGCCCGTATCCATTCTAGCCAGCAGAATATTATTGGATCATATATTTTTTTTGCCTTTAAACATTTTTGTTCCTGCCTTTGTTAATTTTGTTTTACTCTTCGTGATAAACTTAATAGCACTTGGACTCTCCTCAGTTGTGTTCTCAAGAAACTGGACTTCTCTGCACTAGATGATGATAGTGGGATCCTAAAATAAATGCTTATGAAAGTTAGTCCAACATACCATCCATCCATTCCCTAACTGTTCCTCCCAATTCAGAGGCACAGGAGTAGCAGGAAACTGCAGGAACTGGCAGGAAGTGGGCGCAAGGCAGGGTACACCCTGGATGGGACACCAGTCTAACTCAGAGTAAACACACAAACACACACCAGGGCCAATTTTCCCAGAACCCAATTAACTTACCAGCATGGTTTTGAGCTGTTCGAGGAAACCAGAGCACCCGGAGGGAACCCACATTAACTCGGGGAGAACGTGCAAACTCCACACATACTGTATACTGGTCTCAAATTAAACCC